GTTCAAGACGAGTCGAAGGGTATTTCACTAGGACAGTGGACAACTTAGGTTCCACTGTTGGGAAGAAGGTCACCTACTAATTGCATGTTATCCCTGAATGAATAATTGAAGCAGATTACCAAAAAAACTGTTTTCTTCTCAGCTTTTGGTTGATAGTGCCTGGTGTTTTCAGATGCTTTCACTGACATCTGGCAGTAGTTTAAACACTGGCTCATATTCTGTCTTCTGTTAGTCAAAAAATGTCAGTAAAAGTGGCTTTCATCAAAGAAAATTTTCATTTGTTTGAACCTTTCCAGTGATTTTCACACAAGAAAATGGAATATTCCTGGTTTAAATAGTCAGTTACCATTTTCCAAGACACTTTTCAGCACTCTGGTTTATTTTTTTCTGATAAAATAAAGCTAATTTACCTTTTTGATCAATGCTCTTACAAAGAGAACAGAAATTCCCCATCTTACATATGCTTGACCTGGGCTTTGGCAGCCAGAGTCTCTTGCTTTCTGAAGAACAGGAGTGGAAGTGGAGCAAGGCCTCTGCCGCGTGAACTCCCTTACTGGTCAGAGCACTGGAGCTGCAAAGAAGCGTATTTATGCATCCCAGTGACTAAAACATGCACTCTGCTGCAAGAGGGAGTAGATGTACTTCAGACTTTTTTTCTTAGGAGCCAACGTCACTCATCTCTGCAGCGTAAGCGTCATCGTTTGCTCAGAGTTGCGCACCAAGACAGTGCCTGAGACAGGACCAAGGAACAACCCCAAGCTGAGTTCAGCAGAGTCCAAGAAAAGGCCAGCATTAGTCAGTCTGAGTTTTGTTCTTTGATTTTGTGCTTTGACCAATTGTACACTACTAACAAAAGGGGAGGTTCCCAAAAAGGAAGCTACAGCTATCCTACCTTTGACTCCTTTCCTCCCCAAAAAAGGACTAAATTCTCACAAAGGTGTTGTCCACTTTGTTAATCAGCTGTAATAAAGGAATGGTCAGAAGAAACCGTTACTATCTCAATTTGCGACCGGCATAATCCCAATCTGGCTCTACCAAATTGTGGATGGACGTCTTACAGACAAGCATGAAGGCTCAATTTGAAGAACTGTCACATAGAATGTAACTACCCTTTTTTTAAAGTGTTATTGCTGTACCAGTACCTTGAGAGACACATAAAGACGATAAAGAATAAAGGATATTGAATACTCTGAAATTAAGATAATTCCCCCCCTTGTTTACAGTACAAAAATTTTATTTTTTGTTAGGATAATTTAAAGTTTAAAACTGAAGTAGACATATTCATTTTACAAACAAGATATTCTTCCATAAGTAGGACCATTAAAAACAGTAAACAAAAAAAGCTATCTTTACAAAAGCTCTGTGCATAGCAACTTCATACCGTATATAACTGACAAAGCAAAAACCCAAAAAAACGACCAGCCAACCCCAAACAAACCCCAAAACTATACAGTAGGGAGAAATGAGGCCTTAATTTACAGAAGGGAGAAAACGGTCTTTAAAAACCATGCATATTGGAAGTGTGCAAAGAAATAGGGAGCGTAAGATGCTATACCAAGATAAATAATGAAATAAAACATACTCTTTCAAAGTTATGATAAAATTTGTAGTTACCTATCGCAACACTTTCGTCTTTCTAGTGGCAAAAAGGAAAGCTGTTAGGGAATATTAAACAGCAATAACTAAAAGAGGACAGATTTGCTTATTACATTGAAAAAATCCTTACACATAAATTTTTACATGACTTTTCCTTTTTGTTGGGTGTTTTGCCACTGCCAAAGTCCTTCTTTCATGTTCAAGGATTTCTGATTGTATTTATTTACACACATTTTTCTTTGTAAAGCTACCAGTAAGTTCTACACTCATCTTGAGTACAATGATTTCCATGCATGAGCAAAATCCGTGTTCTAAATCATTCCTATGTTGAATTTTTTTCATTTGTTTGGCTCAAATCAAACCAGAAAAAATCATTTTCCATGCTTACATCAACATAGGCAGCTACATTTGTTTATCTTCCTATAAGTACTTGAAGTAGCTTCCTAGGAGGTTTTCTTTTTCATTTGGACTCATGGCCCTCCCACTTGAGCAACTGGACGGAGCTAATAAAAATAACTGAAGTGTGAAAGGAATGTCGAGCATTTCAGAACCTTTTCTTTTTTTAGCTATTTTTTCCCTGAATCTTCCCAAGACTTCAGTGATATTTTTATGTGCTTATGCTGACTAAGAAATAATAAAAAAAGAAGGGTGGACAATTAACAGAATAGCTTTTTCCATGAAATGTCTCAATTTTTTAAATTGGAAACCTTTGTGACTGAGATTTTGTAATGAAAATCTTATTTGTTAAAAAAATGTGAGAGGAGTTAAGGTAGCAAGCTGCTGCTCTTCAGCATGTGGTCTAGAAATTCCTAACTATCTGGAATATTTGTTGGGCACAGAATTTTGAATCTAAGCAGAGATGATAAAATTTAAAAAGTAGCCTGTACAGAGAAAGGCTGGGGCGGGGGGGAGGGGGGAGGAAATCCACCATCTTTATGCTTTGGAGCTCTTTGGGTTTTTTTACTAGTTCAAAATGGGGGAAGGGAGATAATGTATCAGAAATGAGCCTGGTCCATCAAGATTTTTTTTTTTTTTTTAATCTGGGACTCAGTGTAGTATTCACTGAAATTTATAGAAGTCTTAATCCCAACTCTAATAATCCTCAATCTATTTTTTTGCTGTATGCATGCAGAATTCCAAACATGAATTTGTACCTCCCACTCTTAGCCTTGCTGGGATACCGGTACCTATAGAATGTATGAAATACTTTTTTGTTGGGTTTTTTGTTCTGAGTAACAATGATCAGGTCAGACAGGGCGCCCTGTTGTGTTACCAGAGGTGAACGTACAGCAGTACACAGTTACAACCCCAGACTTCTTAACACCTGTGATTCTTTCCTATTTCAGAGATCACTCGCTGACCTCCAGTGATTGCCACTTCCCTGATGGCATGAAGGGCGTGCAAAGAACCTGCAGTGTCAATGAACTTGCAACCATAACTAATGGTGAGTTATTTTATTTCATCCTTTCTGGAACGTAGACACTGTCACCTGACTGTAAGACCCTGACTAACTATATTCATGCTTCTTAAACCCACATTATTCCCACCTAATCTCTCTTTAAAGTTGCTTCTAATTGCCATTTTTGCTGATATGATAAATTGGGCCTTAGTTTTAGAAGACAGTAAAACCCCTCCACCTTTTAAAAACTGAACTCAATAGCACTGAAAAGGCAGCTAACGAAGTCCCTGCCAAAACCTCACAGCATAGTCAGGAGTAGTACAAAGCCGCTTCCCAACAAGCGTATCATCTTTAGGGATGATAGGAGTAGCCCAGTTTCTTCGTCTTTCCAGTCCCCCGGCTTCTCTGCTGTGCCGCATTCTGGTTAAGAAACACATCCTGTAAACCTTCATGTGTATTAAATACATTCCGCTCATAAGCTGAACTCTACGCTACACTATGAAAACGGAGCTTCACGGAGGACCTGCTCTCATGCAGTCTGCACCAGAAGCAGGCTCACAGGCAGTCAGCTTTCCTGCACTGGGCGATTTAAAGGGACGATTTTACAGGTTTGCAAAACGCAGTCCTGTGCCAAAAGCCTGTCCATTAGGTGAGGGTCTATCAAGTCATATGCCACACACACCACCAAGCCTCTTGGCCACCAATCATTGCAGCTGGATTTGAACCATGGATCTAGAGAGAAGCTTTCTAGTCTATTACTAATCCAAATTAGCTCCACAACAGCTGCTAATGAGCTCCAAATGACCTCAGCCACGCAAGTTGTCAGTTGTTCACCATCCTGAGTCCAGTACTGAATTGAACATCTTCTACCATATATAAGGATCACCAAGAACACTATTTTACTTACCCATTGATAAAACTACTGGGCAAATGGACAAGTACAGTTTCAGGGGCCATATATTAAGGGTTTATTTATTAACATAAAGATGTTATCATAGGAACAACTATTCATCCAGCTATGAGTCATGTGTATTGTAGCGGGGTGTAAGTAGTGTAGCTGATTTTTTTTCTCTGAAAATGGCTTTCCAACAACCACGTTCTTTTGAGTGGTCTCTGGTTTAGTCAGATAACTAGTGATTTTTTTTATCAGACTTGTTCTCACCTTCCAATTTCAGGAGAGGAGATGCAAAGGAGAACTAAACTTTTTAATGCTAAAATGCAGAAAAATTCAAAGCAATTGATTACTTCTATGAACTCCAATATATAAATGGAAAATACTTACCATTTTTAATGACTCAGGATAAAAGTGCATAAATTATTCAAATACATATTTACCCTTTATAAATGCACCCTTAATATGAAGTATAACTGAACTTAAGGAGTTCTAACTACGTGGAAAAACAGTGTGTTAGAGAACCCTTTCCCTCCTAATTCATGCATTGAATCTATAAAATAAACTCAGTACCTCATGAAAAACCTGATTCGTTCAAACCCCGAAGTGCCACTCATTTGCCAGCAGGGTCTTTGAAACTTACCAGTTAATCTTAGTACCTGAATATTTTAATTGAAACAAAAAATGGAAGGGGGAAAGATGAGGAGGATGAAAATTCATACATGAATTAGTGACCTGTATACCACAATGTATGTAAAAGTTTCTGATGATTTTCTTCATCAGAAAGAATCCTATACATCCTTGCACATGAACTCAGTAAGAGGGAAGAAGTGAGGAGCAATTGCAGCAGTAACAATATATCTCAAACTTATCACTACATTTTTGCATCATTTTTCTTCATTGTACAACTGGAGGAAAAAATCCAAAAAAGGGTTTAATTTCTACCTCTACATACAATAAGTTACAAGTTTATTTATTTAAATAATTGTAAAACATCTTACATTTTTTAAAGAGGTTAAACTATAAGCAAATACACACATACACCAAAGTTCCATCATTCATGTCAGTTTGTCCTAGAAATTCTTTCATGCTGGTACCCTGTTTTGTTGAATTTTTTTCTGCATAAACTAAATCGATATCTGAAAGGCTCCATAGAAAATAGAAACTTCAACTTTTTTCCCCTACAAAGTAAAACAAATTGTATCCAAAATATCAAGCTTGAATCATTTTGCCAATTTCTTTCTCCTTTTAATATTTTACAAAGCTTAGGAAGGTTTCATGTCTTTCAAGAAAGACTTTGCATTTCTGATTCCGTTCTGCCAACTGTTGTTCATCCTGGCTCCTGGCTGATTCTTCATTCACAATGTTTTAGGAGTTGACGTGGTTGTGTCAGAAATATGAAACAGGTAAAAGATGCAGACTTCTATCTTGTCCAATCCATAAAAAATGTTCCTTTTTTTTTCTGGGCCTGGCTTTCCCCCAAAAAAGAGCTTGTAGTGCTATTTTTTTCTTTTTAGTGGTCCATCACAATAAGTAGTTTTGTGCTGTAAAAGAAAAATGAAAAAAAGAGGAAAAAAGGGAAGAGGGAGAGGAGCAAAGCTGCCTCTTCCTTACATCGGGGGAACGACAAGACCAGTCATGGCTGAAAAAGAAAATTGACAAAGATGAAATTCTGGCAAATTTTTATGGAACAAAGTATATTTGAGCCCTTCACCCTTCTGTGTGCAGCCATGTATTGCAGCAATGGCCTTATTTGCAGGTTAAACTAGACCTCAAGTTTCTTTTAATGTTTTTATGCTGTAGTAAGGACTAAGATGGTGAGACTGACAATGACCACAGACAATGGACAATGTGCCATTTCATAGTAAATTCACCAAAAGCCAAGGCCCATTGTGGTTCTTAAGTGGATAAAGGAGATAGATAGAGGATTAATTCAAGTCTCAGTACATGAATTTTCAGAAATGCCTAACCATTTTTGGGTGCTTATCTCCTGAGACATGTCCTTGGAGATGGACATTGCTCAGAACTGTTCCAAAAAATTCAAGATTCTCGTGCTTTCTCAAGTTGAACACTCCAAATCATTCTTGAAAACCAGAATCGAGCAGGGCCTTCTGCTTCCCACTCAGTCGCTTGCGGAAAGGGTTTTGTTGTGAGTGAGGAAAGATGTGAAAGCAAATGGGAGTTCGCCCATGCACTGCTCCCGGGACCTAGCCAGAGAATTACAAGTCCCGATTCATTGGACAATGACCAGAGCTAGGGTTTGCTAATTCAGTTTCAGTGGAAATAATGGACCAGCCTCTCTTTCTCGCTTGGTTTACCCCGTATGTCTGAATCACTGTAGTCTTACCTGGCACACTCCCAGAACACTGGGCTTATGTAAATTATTTATTAGTCACTCTCACTGCCTTTAATTGCAGCTATATTCTTCATAACTGACAACAGCAACATTTGAAGCTGCTTGGAACTGGTGCTGTTCCCAAAGGTTTTGAGGGGTAAGTTAAGTTTATACGTATTTATATAACAAATGAGTGAGTCATATTTTCAAAGGGGCCTCAGTGCAGTGCGAGGTCCTAATCCTGCAAAGATTTATGTTCACTGAAATTTGTGGGATTATTCATGTGTTTAAAGCCCTGTCCTCTGAGAATTAATTTCACCCTTATGTTCATAGTGTTTAAAAAAATGCTTAGGGCAAGATCCTCAGCTAACATGACTCTTTTATTGGAGCTGTGTTGATTTTAAACAACCGTGGATATGGTCTATGATTTAATACAATAGGAAAATAAATATTTTCATATTTTGTAACTGACTAGGGCTAGAAGTCCCTGCCAATTTTGGCAGATAGCTGAAAGAGAAAGTGAAACCAAACAGTCTTAAGTGAAATATCTACTTTTTTTAATTGCTTAGGAATTTGCTGTTATTTTTCAAACAAACAGGCAATTTACATAACCCTAAATGAAGTCGGTAAATATGTGTATGCCTGGTTTGGGGGGGGGGGGGCACATGAGAAGAAGAGATATTTTCTGTAACACTAAGGAGGCTGCTCCTTTCCTTCTCCTCACCCCCAAAACCAAAAAACGATCCCAACGGTAGTGTCCCAGCCTGACACTGGAGAGCCTTCTCCCTGTGTATTAACCACATGCCTGCCTTTCTGTCCTCTAGAAAAGAAAACTTAAGTCTTGGATTGATGCCCTCCTCCAGATTCTGCTGGGCTGGCAGAAGAGGTAAGTGTGTGCCCTCAGCTGCTCACCGCCATCCCACAGGTATCCCGATGGAGCAGTCTGTGTGAGCGCTTCCTAATCTGCTTCAGGCAAAACCATCCAGGTTAGCGCGAAGAATTTAAACTGTTTGTCTAAGGTAACCCAGCTGGGTCTTTCGCCTGAAGCAAATAAAGGAGCACTTACACAGACCGTGCCTGGCTGGTCCGTACCTGCGGTAATCTTTTCTCCTGGCATAGGCAGAGTGTGGCTGTTTGGATGGTCTGCGCAGAGAGGCTGCAGTCCCTGGTATAGCTAATGTGGTTTCATTTGAGATGCGCAGGGTCTGTTGCCAGTGTAGTTTAAACTCCGTTCCCAAGGGGGATAGGCCATATTGGCATAAATGCTTTTTTCTGATACTACTGTTACCAACATTATTTTCATTTTTTTAATCAAGGAAAACTTCTTCCAGCAGATCAACGCAAAGACCAAGCCTGAGTTTCTGCCATGTCTCTTCAAAAATATTTTAAGAATACTTGTAGATGCAGCATTTTGGAAAGTTCCTTAAATGGAAGGGAAAGTACATTTTTACTGTATAATTAAAGATATTATTTTATCCAGCAGTCCTGGACTCAAACTAGTGATGGCAACAGCAAAACTGCCACCTGCAATCAGGAGGCGTATGTTGTTACCCCTGGGGTTCTGGTGATCCCTCTTTTGCCTCCTTTCCTTTCCTCCTGAGCAAGCAGCAAGTCCCTGCTTCCCTCTCCTTACTTTTGCCTCCCGCCCCAGCCCAAGTCTGTTCTGTCATTCCAGGTTGTAGGTGCTCCAGCGCAGCAACCATACTTTGTTAGGATGGAGCTGTTAGGATGGAACCTGCCCATGGACCAATTCAGGTAAAACTGTAACATAACACAGAAACGACAAGCAAAGCCTAATTGTTTCACTGGCATTTCATCCTAATGTTGCAACTCCACCTCCTTCTGCAACAAAGAACAAGTAGGTTGAGGAATATCGGCTGGCATTCTCACCTGTTTTTCCACAGCCCATCTAAATGGCTTTGCTCTGAGGTTCTCTCTCTTTTTACATACCCTCATCTGTCCATTTCCACCCCACCTCCACTCCCCTTTGGGGCTGCACTGTCAAAAGCCTATTCCCAGCCTGTATCGCTCTTTATTGAATGTTTGTGAGGTTTGGATTAAGGTCTTACACTGCTAGCAAAGCTGTAATTATTTTTGCCTGTATTACTAGATATTGAATCGATGTAACTTTTCAATAAAGGTGGTTCAATGCAGGACACTCCCTGATGAGTTGGGAATATAGAAACCACAGTCATTATCCCAGAGGGTCTTTTTTTTTTCTTGGAGGGAAATGGAAAAAGAATTAGAGATGAGCCTTATTGTATTAACCTTGACAGCTTGCAATTATCAACTGAAACACTTGATTAAAATTGTCACAAGGTTGGAGAATTTTTTTATAAATAAATAATCAAACATGGATAGTACCCAGATGCTATGGTGATAGGCACCTTTAATGGGTGTAATTAATAATGATCATAAGCCTAGTGTATACAAGTGGCCCCTGAAAACGCTGTCTTGCTTTGTAGTGGAAAAGAACTCTGCAATTCAAACAGCCGTTTGGTAAGAACCGCTGCATAAATGTACACATGCTGATCTAGTTCTTCAGGTATCACAGGTGCTTTGTTGGTGTCTAGATTATGACCTGGTTTAAAAAATATGCTTTCTAGAGAAGATGGGCGTTGAGCATTTTCAATCACTGTCCTGTAAAACATCTTGATCTCTCATTTGGTTTTCCTCTTTTGCCACTAAGTTTCCAGCAAACTCCAATCTCCAATGGTTCTACAGGTCTTTGAAGAGGCAAATGAAGTGCTCCAGTGGTGCTACTCTGAGCATCTTAAATGAATGTTCCTACCCTGCAATGCCAGAAATAACTCTTTGCATGAGCTGTCCTGTATATAAAGGTAGGTTTGCACATTGCAAGCCCCTGAGCCATTGGTGGCAGAGCTAGCTTCTGTGTAATTTGGTCTAATAAAAGGTGCAGCTCATACCTGCAGGCTTCACCTTATTGGTATCTCTGACTCCCATCATGGCTACCACTAGAAAATGTGCAGTTTTACTTTCAATATTAAGACCACAGAGACATTTGTAAAACAATGCACCCATTTATTATCTATCATTTATTGTTATGTAACTAATCAACTGAAAATGATAGAGAAAAGAAAGGATTTTCAGAGGAAAACACGGCTGGCTTTCATTTAGCAGAAAACATCAGTGGCTTGGATGAGGGGCACCATCCTCCTTTATACTAGAATGTGAGTGAGTGAACTAAATTACAGCTTCTGTGAAGAACTTGCGAAGGATGGTTCCAACTAAGACACTAAGAAGTAGTCAAAAGCTTCAAGTATTTCCTAAAGAATTTCTTTTTATTTTTTTTTTTTCCTCCATAGGAAATTAACACTTTTTTTTTTTGCAGAAATCCTTCTGTATTTGGATATAAAATTTTCATCCATCCATTCATGATCATCTAACCACAGACAGGTGAGATTTTTATAAATAAGCAGTGGTTTTATCTCTTTTACATGATAAACAGGTTAAACCATATTTTGTGTAACATGTTTTTAAAAAATCGAGACAAAAGCATTGATAGCTAAGAGATGGAGAAGTTAATTTGGCCTCATCTATTGAGTTGCATTGATGTAGTTACTATCTCACCATGGTGCTAAGCTGTATATGTGCAAAAGGCTGCCTGAACAATTATTTTGATTTAGTTCAAGTTAATTAGGAACACCCTTAAAATCAAAGTATGTGTTTGCAAAGTCATATATGCATTAGTTTAATTATTAAAGAGCACAGGAATGTATAGCCACTCTGCAGTTATACATTTTTCCAATTATACTAGAAAGTGCCTAAGTTTTCACCTGCAAAGGAGAAGTCAATAGTGAATCTTACCCAATATCCTCTTTTTTTGCGACACCTAACAGTCTTGAATATTTTCTTCCATTAAAAAAGGAGCTCTTGTCTAGCCTGAATAAAGTCTGTGACATATGATGAGCTACTAAAATTAACATCCCATCAAATGAAAGATAGGTAATTAATAGTAACAGGAGATATTTTTGTTTAGTTAAGTGTTAGCAAGAAGTTTTAAATATCTCTCAAGGTTTTCATTATTTTGAAGCAGTCTGTGTGGCTTACATCTCTGCCAATAAACTGGGGAGAAAAATGTACTTGATCCTTCCAATGTATCAAATTTAATCAGATGACAGATGCATATTTTTCATGCATATTGACATCATGTATATATCATTTGCAGCCTTTGGCATACTTAAATCACTGTCTAGGCTCTGGAATCATTCTGATTCAGGCAGAAGCATATTGCTGAACATTCCTAGTGTGGAAATGGCCCACTTATTTTTACCTGGTTAGAATCTCTGTTAAGAGTTATTTTAAAATGCTGTGTCTTAAGTGTTGACTGGAGCTAGGCTTCGACATGGAACAGCAGGTCAGGCACTGGACTGGTAACAATCAGGAACCACTGCTTTGTAAATGTGAGCCAGCCATTCCATCTGAATCCCACCCGTTACAAACTTTTCAGAGCAACTATTTTTCTCATTACCTGTTTGCACAGCCTTCTAATGCAAGGGGACTGGAATCCCCAGTGCTGTTGACACCCTCAACTTTGTCAGGACAAGATACTAATAATTAGGGTCTTCAACTCAAATACCTGTATTTCTTTAGGGAATAGTGCAGATGTCCCCTTGGCTAAATTGAGGCTGTTCCTAAGGGTTTCAGATTTCAATACCTTTTAGATTGGCTAGGATCCCGATGGTTAATGGAACATCTGACCTTCTGGGGCTTGCCTGCTATTCCTTGTAACTGAGCTTGCATTTTTATGTTGAGATGTGCTGAGCTGGCCAAAGGTAATCTGGGCAGTCAGCGGTCCATGCTGTTCCAGCAGTTTCCAATTTGCTTGCTTTTCCCATCAGCTGCCTTCCATCTGAGATGAGTTGATTAGGCATTTGTGTACTTATCATGCCGTGTTGCGTCACGTCACTTTGTATCTTCCCGGTGCCTTTTCTAAACTGCCTTGACATATGACATGAATGGAGCACACAATTGTTCTGATCAGGATCACCTGCTCTCAATTTGGAGAGCATATAGAAGTGAGTGGTGTCCAGTATGGATTGCTGCTTGTTCTCTACCTATCATGTCCTGTTACACGGTAAGAATGTAGAGCAGATGGCAGGTGAAAGAGGTAAGCAAGAACACATGGCACAGGGGGTTATCTGAGGGTATTCCACATGTCTTGGCTGTGTTGTGCAGCCCAAAGCTGAAAGTCAGGAGATATGCAAGTTTCGTGCTTAGCTAATACTTTTGAGTTACAGTGTATTTTCTACCAGCTGTCCTACTGTCTCCAGCAGCTTTTAAGCATTCACCAAGACCTTCCTCCCAAAATACATTTTTGGAAAAAAATTTCCAGTGGTACTGTAAACTGCCTGGAATAATGGGCAGTATGTAAAATGCCTGGAATAATTGTACAGCTCCTTCTGTTTAGACTAGTTTTAATCTAGGCTTCAACACTGCTGTGGTTAACATATGTGGAAGCTATATTCTAGATCTCCATTGCTGCTTGTAAGTAGAGTGGCATGCCCTGAGGTGCTGGTAGTATTTCTAATATTCTAATATATATTTCTAATATTTCTCATTGCAACAGGATGCAGTAACTAGGATGGAGACTGTATCACCAGGAAACTTTTGCCTTTCAACGAAAGATGTAGCCAAAGTACATTGCAAACATTACATTAAAGCTCAAAAAATCCCCATTGGGGAGATGTTTTCCCGATATTATGGGTGGGGAAATTGAGAGGTAATGTCAAAACACTTGCCTGACGTGCTTTGGGAAGCAGCCTGCATATACTTACTGCTTGCTCTGTGCTTCTGCTATTCTATCTCCATCAGTATTTACTGATGCATAAGTTTGATAAATAAGTAAATAAATAAATAAACAACATTACCAGCACATCTATTCTTAGTTTATAGCACAGGGTGATGGCATAGCAGAGGAGATTAACAATCTCCCATTGCTGCAGCATGGTAAGTCCATTCAAGAAGGCTCTTTGGGACCCTCCTGTTGACTTTCTGGCCACATCTGTCTGTCAGCACTGTGGGAACGTTAATTTGGATATCAGGCTGTTTGTATCTGGATCCGTTCCAAAGCATGTGCTCCCCAGCTTGCATCAATTTAAATATTTCAGTTGGAAAGAAGAATTTGCATCTATGGCTGATATAGTTAAATAGTTACAAAGACCTGGCATAACAAACCTTGGGCAGACGTGTTCGGCTCTGCGAAGCAACTACTACCTTTGCTGTGAGTCACATCTGTTGTTGCTTGTCGTTGCAGTCTGACTGACAAGTCCCATTGTACTAGGTACTGTATCTCCTGAAAACTTATTTATATAACAGCTGTAGCGTATTACTGTATTTATTTATCAGGGTGTTGATGTAAAAGGAGATATCCCACAAAGAAAGGGATATGGTTAGTAACTTTTGTATTGGTTTATCCATGCACAAGTTTCTGCATCTCTATACACATAAGCTATTTCAGTAAGTAATCATAACCTTAACTGATAGATTAATCCTGAACATCTCAGGAGTGGACTTTTGTCAGTAAAAATGCATGGATGGGAGGACTGGGTTTTTAGCTTAGAGATTTTATGTTATGCTTAATATTGAAGTTCCATTTTTAGAATCCCTTATTGATTACTAATTTATAGATTGGCTAAAATACGCTGTAAACACTAAATGGCATGAATGGTACCATCTCTAGTACTTTACCTGTTTACAAAAGGGTTAAAGAAGAGAGAAACGCTCGCTAAGCAGAGTCTTGAGCAGACAGGACAGACGTGGTAGGTTAAGGAAAAGTATTAACTTAAATAAAAAGTCAGTGGTTTTTTTTAGTATGTCCTTTTCCTGTCTCCCAGAAACAATCTGAGTAATTTTCTCTGATTTGTGATTAGCACTACCTTAGGTAACTTCTTAACAATTAGACCTTCTCAACACAGAAGTTAGACAAGTTTAACTTTAAAGCAGACTTAAATCTATTCTGAACGCACTGATTTGTCTTTAGATTATAGCACTGTCCAACTGGCTTAAGCTAAACAAGCAAACTGTTCTTAAGTTGATAGGCCTTCCTAGTTAAATGTTTAACTAAATCAGTTTAAGATTACATTACCTTGGAGCAGTTCCTTAAAACAGCTAAACTCTCTCTTTTTTTATAAAAACGCAGTGAAATCAATACATCCCTTCGTTAGCTGATACAAAGAACACAGCCTCCCCGCCGCCCCCCCCAAAAAAAAAGGAAGGAAAAAAGTTAACTGCAGACCAGGTAGGCATGATGACTCTTTAGACACCATGATCATACAAAACATTAACAAAGATATAAACCCATTTCTAAACAGTTTGGATAAATAGCTACAACTTTTGGGCCAAAAAAAAGTTTCTATACCTATAGTTTAAAAAATTGCTTCAAATCCTTCTTTTCATCTTCTTTAAACAGAGTGGAAAAGAAATTATATTCTCTGTCAACATGATACTTGTGCATTTACATGGGCAGATCAACGTTCTTTCATTAATGGGGAGAAGATGATCTTAGAGAAGCACAGTTTCCTGTAATTGGGGTAGGGGAAGAAGCTGTTTCAGATATATAGCAGAATTCTGTAGGTTAGCTTTTAAAAATGTAATTGTTTTTGTTCAACACACTTAGAATTTCCTTATTATATAAAATAATCGCAGTTTATGTAAGTCCCTGTGGCCTGGCTAAGGATTTATAATGCACCCAAATCAACAGGTGCGGTTTGTAGGGCTCATTTTAGAATTACCACTGGCTCTTGGCATGGCTGAATTCCCAGTTGTGTTTTCTGTGGTATCTCTAGTGAAGTCTGAAGGAGCCAGATGACTTCTCAGGCCCTATAAAGGCTTTTTTTTATGGAGACTTGGAGCGTATTTATGTGCCGCATGCCCCCCCACAGCCTGTTAAAAGAAAGAATTTAGTACAGGTTTCCATTCTTATCTTAATACTCACATTTGTTTTGCAGATCACCTTTAAAAAGGCTGTAAATGTACTACAGGGCTCAATTCCCGGTATGAGCCTAAACCTTGCAGCAGGTTTCAAGACATTGGCTGTTATGTACAGAGCTGTGTATTAACTCTGCAGGGCAGACGTTTGTTTTACAAGTCCCTGAAGCCTAAGGAGAAGTCATTCCTTACAAAAGAGCTGGTATTGAAATGCAGCGTGGGTCAGATCCTTCTTGGTATAAATGGGTGTCCCCTGTTGTTTTAAAACCAATAGACAAAGCTTGGAGCATTGCTTTAATCCAGTTGGATAGGGTCAGATTTTCACTACTGAGTCCTGTAGTATCAGTGTAATGGTATTCAGATGATTACTGTATTTACCTAGACTAACGCAGGGTGCTTTACATGTGCAGGCTGAATATTAATTGTACATTTCTTACCTCTAAACCCATTTCCATTGCCACTAGAGCAGGCAGGAGAAGGAGACCCTTGGGGTCTGATGACAGGAGCAAAGGCACTCTTCTGTTTGACAGCAGGAAAGACGGAAGAGGAGAATGGAAGGATGGAAGAAGTGCTGGAGGAGCCAACTGTTGGACTTGAAGACATTACTGCAAAAGAAAAAAGGGAATCCTCATCAGAAATACAATTATAGAAGTTTGGTAAAACTGCTTAAAATGTCTACCTTCTGATTACTCATTTTACTTCTTAAAGAAGATCTCATTCTCACATTGACTAGAGAGGTAGTTATATTGAATAGTTCAGAAAAGAGAGTGCTTAATTCTTTTAAAATGAAGGGTGAGGATATCAGAAAATGGTAAGTCATCAAGGGAGAGAGAGAGTCAATCTGAACAAGCAGCAAGACAGTAATGGCGTGTCCACATACAGTCTGTGCTTTGGAAATTGGGAAGGCCAGTAATTCCTGTGCCCTCCCCAGCTTTTTAAAAATGAAGATTTCCTTGGCTGGAGTTGAGGGGAGATATTTTAAGCTGTTGCTTAGATTTGAATCTAAACTGGTTTCTTTATAAAGAAGTATCTTGCAAGAAAAAGTCCCATTATGTGTGTCCAATAGCTTGTTAAGCAACTGTTTGCTTACTTTCCAGAAAAATATCAGCTATTTCTCAGCAAAACAAGGAACAAATAACGTACTTCCTGTGGGTTCAAGTGCATCCCCAAGTCTCATGGAAGTATTAGTTTGAAATCAGAATAACAATATACTGCAGACCCAGTCCTTTCCTTATTGAAGTCAACGGCAAAGCTCCAGAATAGGGGAAGTACCAAAAGTATCCGAACATCCTTTGAGTTGCACCTTAGCCTTAAATTACAGCTCAGACTGTGAGGATATATTGTTTAGCAGGTTTCAGACCAGCAAGGCGCCTTCATCATCACTGCGAGTGGGTCAGTCCTTATGCAGATAACGTGAATGTAAATAAAATAAAGTAATATTTTGCAGGATACCAGGTGTTTTCTGGAAAGGCATGATCCGGACATTATTGGGAGCTACACCCTCCGTAAACTACAGTGTAGGTAAATAATTAAATAATAAGTCAATAAGTAAATAGCTGTTTAACTGTTCATCCTCATATATATCTATTACACACACACACACTCTCTTGCCAGAGGGAAATCGAGGCATGAAAGGAGGAGTGACTTGTTCATGGTAAAACTAGTAACTAGAAACGCAATAATACTAACTTCCAGAACTTAATTCCATCGTTGTTATATTTCTGGTTAACAAGGTAATATAGTTTCACAGGAAATTAATGCACAATTCAGCTCTCAGTTATTGTTAATGCAGGTCATACACATAAAAATTATTTCTGAGTGGCTTTTAGATAGGATTCGGAGTAGTCTCTATGCTAAAAGCGATGGCTGCTTGCTTAATCATCTGAAGTTGTAAATTGTACCTCACTTCTCCTTGTGGCCTTTGCCACTTAGGAACCTGTATAAGGATAAAAAGTGAAGGAAACACAAGTAGGATTCAGTATTCCTCTATTCTTCTTGAAAAATGGGAACATTTTGTAGTTCATACTAAAAAATACCAGAACACAAATCAGAACCTTTTACAAAAATCTTCACTAAATCTCGAGAACTTCTTTTGAAAGACATCACTTGCTGCATTTTTTGATGTGGTAAATTAAATTAAGCAGGAGCAAGAATCAAATATAAAAGAGGCAAAGCACATACATCCATAGGGGGATCCTGTTGGAGAGCCGTTGATGAATCCAGGTGAGCCTGGAACGCCCAGGTTAGACATGGGGACGTTGCTGTAGCCGTTCATGCTATTGCTGGAAGTGCTGTAATTGGACTGTTGAGGTGTGGAACTGGAGGAGTAACCTCGGGGTGAGATGCTGCTTGTATTACGAATGTAACCTAAAAAAAACACATTTCAAAGCATGTCAATGGATTCGGCTTAAAACTTTCTCCTGTATATTCCCTGCTTAAATAAATTACTTATTTAAATCCAGATTAATTAAAACATTTAAGCAAGTACCATTAAATTCAGTGGGTTTTACGCACATGCTTTCAAGTTAAGCAATATTAAGTTTTAAAACAAAGTGGGAAACTAACTTTTTGAAGTGAACTAATATATATTTATCTAATCAGATTTGTTAGAAGCTGAAATTTGTTCTAAGACCTGGAAAAAAATGTGTGTGCTTATCTTTTTCTGAGGTAGAATTTTTAATATATGTGGGATTTTCTACAGTTTTAGGGGGGAGATTATACTTTTCAAATTATTGATGAATTACAAATAAAGCAAGCGCATTACTAAGGGGAAATTATAACCCATATATAGTTTGCAGCTTGACTTTGAAGATACTTTACTTGGGGAAAAGAATAAACTGGATAAGGAAAAACCATTTTTTGTCTTAAAAAAAAAAAAACTCAAATATTTGAGAACCAAAATTTAGCCTCTTTTTTCTCCAAAAGGAGACTTGAAGAACACTATAGCTATCAGCATTAAAGTACAAGGCAATTACTACAGCTGCAAAAGAATTTTCCACAGAAAAGCTTTCATTAGAAAGATGTGATCCAATAGCTACTTTAAAAGTGGTTACCATTTAGATATCAAGTCAGGTTATTTCTGCCCATTTATATTATGAAGTTCTAATGCAGGGCTGGTAAGACCTTATTAAAAAAACTAGCAAAACTATCTACATGATGACTTTTGACATGGCATATGTAATATTAACTTCATAAGACATGGTTTTACTGCCTGAGAGTGTTAAACACAGCTTTCATGCAGTCAGCCACAGACTGTACGTTGCTGGAATCGAGTGCTAAAAATCAAAATATTCAAGAGTCAGAAAATGCCCAAAGTTTATATTGCTCCCATGATGTATTCCTGTTAATATGTCATTTTATGGCGCGTTTTCCTAACAATCAGTAATATATCTGGAGTAAATGTAATACATACAACACATGCAAGTTGGTAAAATTAACACTGACGAAGGAGCCTTAAAAAAAAAAAAAAGGGAAGAAAGTTCCCCACCTCTTTAACTATGAGAGGTTTTTTTCAGTTGCTCTCCTTGTCTTTCATGAAAACAGAGATATAACAACAACAACAAAAAAAGATACCGAGCGGAGCAGGGAGAGAATTCAGAGTGAAGTTGGTTTCAAAAAATACTCAAAAATTATTTCAGCCATAGCTCATCTGGTGACTGGAAGCTGGTGCAGACATAGTATCATCCAAAATGGCAGCACACATCCATTTCTAATGCTGACAGTTTAAAGCCATCTTTCTGTTCATAAGCTGGGCAGGTAGAGAAGCTGAGAAACTACTATAGAAGCAACTGTGATTCAATTTTTCGTTGTTTAAATTAACACTATACCACTTGCAATGCTTACCTTGGTTGTTCCCCTGTGTTGACTCTGAAATGCTGACTCCTAACTGGCTACCATAGGAGTTAATTCCCATCATACTGCTGTGAGCAGGAGAGCTAGACAGCGCAGGGATCTGTGCAGGATTCCTTGGTACACTGTAGAGAGCTTCTGCGATGTCTGCAGCTCGTTTCAGAATGATGTCCTGCAGAATGAAAGGGACAAGTTCAGAAACGTGCTTGGAGAAATTTTCTAGTGTTTATTACTACACCTGAACGTATACCACTCCCCTGTAGTCATTCTGACCTGGTTGTTATGTGGTGTTCCATACAGTGCTTCAACTAGGTCAGCAGCTCGTTTCAACAGCATTTCCTGGAGGACGAGCAGATGCATAAAATTGACATTTTAACAGAAAAGGATTTCAGTGCAAATAAAACCATGGGTTAGTATTTTCTGAAGTGACTAGTGTTTGTGTGTGGTCATTCTGAAAACTGCGTCCCTTAAAGAGCTGTTATTTGCCACTTATCTGAAAAATTGAACCCTTTATGGTATCTCAAACTAGACATGCAAAATCATCAGCCGCTTTGGAAAGTGTTGACATTTAAGAGAAACATCAACCGGCACGGGCTGTGTTGTGTGCCCAGTGCTCCATCTTTATCTTGGAGCTCTCCAAAGTCCTGAAGCTGCTTTCAACGCACAAGCTTCAAAAATGGAGACAATTTTCAGACATACCCAATTTAAATAGGAACTCCATCCCTACTGAATTTCAATATATTCTTTTGCACAGACACATAAAAATCTGATTACTCTCCATGTCCATTTATTTTTTCCCAATAATGGTAACCAAATAAATAAAACACTTTAGCTGTCTTATGTTACCTCTGGTTGTAGAAAAAAAATTACACAGTATACTATCTGAATACAATAGTCTTTCATCATGCAAAGATTCTAATAGGTACTTTTGGTACTGCACTAAAATCCAGTAATATAGTCATTAATGCCACTCTCATTGTGCTAGGTGCCACATCAACACAGTGTGCAGTATTACGGATACATAAAATCCTGAGTTGTTTCAATACATGCATAGTGCAGTTGTTGCTTTTCAACAGAAAAAGTTGAGCTTTAAGTGTTTTTTACTAAAAGATTCCCTTAAGATTAGACCTCTGCAACCAATGCTTTATGTCTATCATGTATTATTTATGTCCACAGATTTGGCAATATGGATAAATGCAAAGGACCATGAACATGAACTGGGAAGGTATCTGCACTGGACTCTCATTTTAGCAGCAAAAGAAGTTCACAGTGTTTGAGCTCTAACAGATAAATGTGGGTTCTACATGATCAAATTCTTGTTTGGACCTACAACTAATTCGTGAACTTATGTTCAGATGTAGTTGTCATTTAAGATACAATTTTGTCTCTTTTGTGAAAGAACATATTTAGTGGGCTCAGTGAAATGCTTAAAAATATTTTACCTTAGCTAGCCTTTCAGGGTCACCAGGATGTCTTGGGATGACCTTTTGCAGTCTTTGGAAACCATAATCTATGGTAGGTTCATTTAAAGCTGAAAGGAAAACAGAAAAAAAAACCCCGTATTGTATGAGTAGATACCTTTGTATGTCTCTTAAGTTGCATTACCTAAGAACGATGGATTTCACAGCTTCACCACGGAAAACCTCTCCTTGCCTGCGTTCCTAGAAGGTGTACATTGCCTACTGGTCAGGCAAGCGCCCCGATCACTGTGTGTAAGACAGGCTGAATAGTAAGCTAAGCTTTACAAGAACTTCTGCATGAGGATCCCTAATCTCTTTTCAAAGGTCATACTTACTCTTCCGCTAAGAAAGCTGGAACACACAAGCTATTAATGTTGGACCGCTTTATACAGACCAGGTCCCCTGACTCCTGGTACCCCAACACCACCCATTTAATTGTAAAAATGTTTCTGCCATTATCTGTATAATGAACTGCATGGTGCTCCTGGACAATCAGTGTGTCTGTAATTTGTTAAACAAAGAATTAGTGATATCTTTCTACTTACAGCTAAGCCTTGAAAGAATTCTGATGCATATACACACGCAGCATGCACACACCCCCTATGCCTGCTCATTCTGGTGGGCACAGCTGAACTGAATGTACATGCTCATTTTATGCCAGTATTCCAGAAAATGCATTCAGAGGCAAATGTTGAATGTTGAAGCAAATGACAAAATTTATGTGAATGCTGCATGCTATTTGCAAAACTTTTAACTGAAAGTATTCCAAAGGTTTACACTAGTGAGTTTGGCTTACTCAATAAGGGAACCAAAAAAGCATGACTTCTGCACTTAAAACTGCTCCAGTTTCCAATGCTGACTTCTCACCGTCTATCAAAGGCTGAGTAAATATTTTGAAAGATACAGCAGGGAAGCACTGTCACAAAATTCTCCTTTAAGGATGAATGTAGTTACTCTGGACAAAACTGACAATGGCAGTAATATAGCAAGTTATGGTACAAATGCAAATTAGAACAGGTCTTCTACTATGTTCGTTATACAGTCAGAAATCAAGAGTACCGTATTTGCTGATCTAATAAATACATTACACACACAGCCCCAACATTTTGCCATCACAAACTAGGGCACAGCTATTCATTAGACACATTAACTTCTTCAATTGTGTATGGCTATTATGCATACATAGCCACTTCACTGTAATGATGTTAATCTCTAGTGGATAAACCAAGATATTTTGACCCAGATCCTCAGTTAGTAATAGCTGGTAGAGCCCTACTGGCATCACTGATGATTTCACAAAACCTCAGACACTTTAATACTCTCTACTATGAAATCGTGGCAATAATAATCTAATTTCTGATTATTCGAAGTTAAACTCCAAATTAATGCAGAAAACAAAAGTCAGTTCTGTAGCATTCTACATACTCATAGGCTTTGACTGCCTCTATTACATTAGGATTACTAGTGTTTACTAATACAGTTACAGGTATGGTTTTTTAGAATTTCCTTATACTTCAGAATGTGCATTATAATTCAAATGACACATTCATGCTGAGAATCTTGCTAAGAATTCCATGATGCATTTAATAAGTAACATATGTAAGTCCTTTAGCACTATGCTCATTCAGTGCTAGCTTCTTCTATCCTCTTGTATCATTTGTGGTTCTACTGAAAAAAAAAAAATTTTTTTTTAAATAACTGGTGACATCAGCACAGCTGAAAACACCTGATTGCAAGAGACACTGATGGCACTTACTGACTCTTCCAAAATATACTCAGCACCTTACAGGATAACCATCTCGGACACCAGAAGAATGAAACTATCAAGTGAGACAGACTATTATACTGATCCAGATTCTCTGTTTATCTGTGTCCGTCTTCGGTATAACAACATGAAGGTAAAAGGTCATATTCCCCACTGAGATACATTTTATATTTACTCTTTATTAAATAATTATGGCATGGCATGAAGTTTAAATAGTACAGGAGATAATCAAGTGGGAATTGAGTAGAGAAAACCCAGACCTGAGAATTTAGTCTTGGCTATACTTAGAATGTCTTTGCTCTCCACTGGGAGCCATTCTGGTTTGCTTAAGGAGTTTAATAATACACATTTCAACTGCCACAGAATCTACATCCCATTTGGGAAGAGGGGTTTGGGGGGGGCAGGGTTTTTTGCCAATAATCCTGAGAATTATAGGCCAATTCTCTCAAGAGCCTATACATCATTATGTGCCATTTCTCTTCTTGATTACAAGTCTAATCAGTTAAGTTATATATCTTAAACTAAGCAAAAGCAATGTAAAATATATAGGAATTTAAACATGTATGTATACATAGTTCACTAAAAATAGCTAATGGGAACATACAAAATGCTAATTCAGGAAGAAGAAATTGGCTATTATTCAACAAACATTTTTCCAATGTATTGACATGGACGATTTCATTCTGATAAATAGCAGCAAATAACTTCTCAACAACGTTAAATTGTTCTAAGAACTCAGCCATTTTGAAGCTGTATATACTATGTCTTGCGGCACAAAAGGTTTTCTGTACAGCTTGCAACAAAATTGCCTACTACTAGTTTTACTCATTAATGAAACAAAAATATCTCTGTCATGAAATCCTGTTAAAAACCAACATCCAACATTTGTAGAAGTAAATGGTACCTTTTCAACTGAAGGGCAAGATGTAGAATCCACCAGCAAGTTTGAACAGCTTCACCACAATACCACTTCCACTGAGAAAAGAGCTACTGGATCACTAGTGATTTATCTATGTATTACACAGAAATATGCCAAAATTATATCCAAATGCTTTTGTGTTCATGGATTCAGAGACCATAGAGGGGTCCGACACAGAAGCAGGCTGCTCATTATTTCCTACAAATCAGATATCTGAAATGAAACCCCCAAGAAAACTGATTCGGGTACAGCAAAATCCCTTTGGCAACTCTCAAATCCAGTATTTCAGGCACAAGGGGTCTCTTGAATTTCCCAAAGCATAGTTTAAAAAATTGTGCAGGACATGATATAATGTATGCAAAAAAAGAGCAACCATCTAGTGAATAAACTAAATTGTCAGTCTATAAACGTCACTCTAGCATACTGTTTTAACAACAAACAGAATTGTTACAGTCAGCAGTAGGGAGAGGTCTAAATGCCCCACAGCCTGCCTGACTTTATTTATGATGAGGCTTAAACAGAGTATGGCGCAGTGCTTCTTCTTTTATATTCTTTCTTACCCTCCAAAATCCATGCTTTCATTTTAAATACAAGTCTCCAGCTATTATGACTCACTGGAATAGAAGAAAAAAAAATTCTCACACTTGAGCAACTGATGCCATGACATCTGCCTGCATTTGCAAAACCTGAAACAACAGCTCAGTGCCATTCATCTCAATGGGGACTAACTCAGATACCGAATGATAACAGTGCTGACATTTAAAGTATTAATTATTTCACCACACATCAAAGCATGTAAGACTGTTGAAGGAAGATGATGTTATGAAGATCTGCACAATTTACCATGAGTGACAGCTCATTCTGATATTGCCAGTGTACGCCTTAGGGGATGTGCACTCTCCCTCTCCACGAACCAAAAAAGGGCCACATTCAAGGACCTTAGCAAAGTTCTGCAGCTCATCTTTGCTTTACTCCATGAAGTAGACCAAAGGGCAGCAAGTCCTCTGTTTGCAAAGTATGAATGAGAAGAAACAAAGCATGCATACCTCTAGAAATATCCTGAACCCAGAAAACTGAGCCAGAGGGAGTGTAGTATTTGCAGTGTGATGCCTAACCTTCTTAAAGATGTTAACATAGAGAAAAAGGCACGAGTGGCCTTAAAGGCTTGAATTCTAACTTTGCACTACTGACTACCTTCACTCAAGCCAACAGTGAAGAGATGCTTGGTATTCACCCTACAGAATAAAACATTTCCGTGTTCCTGGCTACAGAAGCTTACTTGCTATAATCATTCTAATCCTGGGCTTGGGAGGAACATACATACTGGTCAGCCTACTCTGATGGGTACATTGTGGTCTAGAGTTGGAAGGATGCTGCTAGAAGTGTACCACCAGTGGTCCTGTGTTATATTTGCTGTGTCAATAACAGCTGTTCCAAACACCCTACTCCCAACACAGCGTTGCCTCCTATTGCATGTGTCTTTCATAGGCTAAATCAGTGGTAGGAGCTGTTCTCTGCAAATGCTTTCTGTCACATCAGTTGTGTTCTGGCCAAGTGAACTCGCTCTTCCCATTTGTAGAGCTCACTGCATCCTTGTAAGTGTTGTTTCCCACAAGCAGATAACAAGACCTTCTCAAATCTACTTACAAGCTTTAGCAAAACAGTACCCTCCTATCCTTGGTACCTGGCATAGAGACTGATACAGTACAATCCAGGAGTCCAACATATCCTACAGATTATTTTATATTGCATTGCTCTGACAAGTTAACCCCTGGAGGATTTCTGCTCAGCAAGGAAAATTATGTCCAAAATCTCCCTGATATACACATTTCCAGGTTAGCATCTCTATGACAAAGTAAATGCAGAGCTGTGATCAAACTTAAGATATGAAAGCCTATGAGACATATCCTCAGCTGGTGTAAATTGATGTAAGCGTTATTAAAGTCAAGGGAACTATAATAGAACTACCAACAGCGGCAGAGAATTTGAATTTGTGTAGTATTAAAAGCAGAATATGAGGCTACTGCTAGATTAGCAGCAGAAAACAAATGTCTTATTATTCTAAGAACAGCTGATGAAAGAAAAGTAATTCAGAACATGGAGATGTATGTGTAACCTGTATTCTCACCAGATTAAGGTACACAAGGGGACTAAATGTTTAGTTGCAGTGTTTTAAAAATAGACTTTTTATCTCTCACTTTAAGTATATACTTAACTACTAAAGTATGTAAGTTGGTTCAGCAACTGCCATTAGCATATAACAAGCCATTTCTCTAGATTTTTGCTATTCTCTGTAGTATACCGTTGGATATCCATAGAATCCTGTTGCCTTCAATCTTACAAAAGTTTTCCATCTGGGAACCTTATGGGAAAGTCCACACATCACATTTCGGCGATGAGAGGAATTTGATGGCTGAGTTGTAGCACCCTGAATGATAGCACTTAAGAGTGGAAACGCTGACAGAACCATAACTACAGCAATGCTAGCACAGCACACTTTGCAAGGAGCCTATTATAAATACACATTACAGGACGCATATGAGCTCCCATAACAGCTCCACTGTGGCATTTAGATTTACCCTTGAAATTTATATCTAATTTTTATATTCATCTTTTCAACAGCTTATCATTTTCTTCTTCAAACAACCTGTCTTATTGTGACTCTCTAAAAAAAAAGAAAAAAGTTCAAGTATAATCAGGTTAAACTTTAATAGCTGATTGTATATTAAGTATTGAGGGCATGGGCAGATACAACACTAACTAAGATGATAGTTTTTCTGCTTTCATGTTTTAGAAGAGTATTGGTGTTCTGGTGATTAAAGGATATGACTAGAACCTGAGAGATCTATTTCCCTGTCTATCTTCAGCTTTCCTGTATAACCACAGGCAAGTGATTATATTCTTCGTCCTTCTGTGGCAATGTCTCATGTATAAAATGGAAGCACGTGTCTTTCTGTAACTGGTTGCCCATGTCTGATGCAGTGGGGCCCTCATGAACCCTCTAAGGTCTGGTTTTATATCAATAATTATTCTTGTTATACCTGTGAAGTACCTATAGCCAGCTACTCAGTATTTTTCATATGACTTGACCCTTCGTGCTTTTCATCTGAGGTTATATCTCAGCACTTAATAATTATGAAGGACTTAATACAACATGACCCTGATAGTACCAGGGCTGCTAGTTGTTGCTGCTGTTACTAATTCTGACAGAACTACATCTTCCCATGCTTTTAGTTTGCAGCATTTCACACTTTTCAGTCCCCTGGGCTTGATGTTAATGTCTCTGCGTTTCTTAGGTTTTTACCAAGTGCAAGCTGAATGTAAAGGGAAGGTACTTAGAGGAGAAATTCTCATTTATAGAGGCAACTACAATTCAAGAGGGAAGCGGTCTTACTGTGTCTCCAAACCTACTGCATTCTCTGATACATTATCTACAAACTTTGTGACAGCTCAGAGGAATATATTGCAATAAAAAGTACTAAAACTATCAAGAAAATAATAAATTTCAATTATCACAAAAAACCCCCAGATTTTCGTTATGATGCACAGGACTACCTTACCAATAATTATAAAATCTACTGAACTTTTCTCTTCAGTATTTTATATGGTATTTGTCTGTTACACTCTACCCAACAAATAGCTGCACCTCTGTGCTGCTACTGAGTATATTTTACAGACTGCTATGGATACACACATGCATTCTGTGGGGCAGTGGCATTTAAACAACCTGGTTTCCTGAGGCTGTTGTCTGGTAGCTTCTCTGCTGTCTAATAACGTGGTTGAGCTCTTCACCCTTTCTTTCAGTGGAGGATTAATTCAGATCTCTCTTACCATTTTCACAAAAATGTGCTGGAACTGTTCATTTTTGATGCTCCTACCTTTCTGATAAAATTTGACAGAAATTGGTCAAACGATTCAAAAGTTGTTGTGGACGTTCTGAAGAAGACTTACAGGCAGAAGGACCTTGACTGCCTGAATATGGCTTGCCTAGGTTAAAAATCAATGCATTTGTTTACAGCAGGACACAAGCAGTTTTCTGATAGCACAGCCGCAGAAAGAAAAAAAATGCCACCATGTTATTTTCATAGCTTAGAAGTTGTTTTTACTGCTATTAGCGGCAACAACCTGGGGGAATTGATTACACAGGTGAGCCTCTACCTAATAGCTGTGTTTATCATTTTGCCTGCCATGGTGGGAGAACTGCAGGTTCTTGAACAGACAGATTGAAAAGTTGTCTGTTCTACCCTCGCTCTAACAGCTCGGCATCTTCTGTGAAATGCTGTTTTGTAACATATGGCAGTAAGCACCCACTCACTCCTCAGAGAATGCTAACAGATATCCCTATGCCAATAACAGCAGTAAAACAGGGACAGTATATTTAACTTTCTTCTCTTCTGCTAGCTCTTACATACATCTTCATGTCCTTTTTTGTGGAAGCACTCTAATTAACATGTCAAAGAACTGCACTGCAGTCTGACTCAAGTCCCCCCTAGATGGTACAAGTAAGTCTTGCACTTAAAACAGCTTTACAATAATAAGAAGACTTTTCTTCATAGAGGAATGCACATTGCTATTACATCTCTCTATCACTCCATTCCTAAACCTCTTTCAGCACAGGTACCAAGAGCACACAGATGGTGGCCCTCAGTAGTGCTTGTGTTGAAGACACTGTGAGAGCAAGGCCTCAAGAAGCAGCAAGTGGCATAGAAGAACTTTACATTTAAATCTGTAATATTAACTGAAGAATTAACAGTCTCTCTTTCTCTGAAGGCCCCTACAAGCCCTGTACTGCACATGAATCAGTGACACTGTTCCTTTGCTTAAGGAGTGCCAGACTCCAGTAAGTTAACCTGTCCCATCTCTAGAAACATGATTGTATTTGCATGCAGATTTAAATCTTTAACCTGTTTGATGGCTTTGCCAGTTATCTCTTGGGAAAAGGAGATAGGTTTAACCTGCTCAGAGATCAGATTCATCTTTTCCCAGAGACCAGTGAATCAATGCACTGCCTTAGAAGAAAATGTATTTCAAAAGCTTTTGGCCAGATCCTGATCTCACAAGCCCAGGAATAATTCCAGAACGACTTTGCACTGCACTGGGGTTATTTTGGTGCAAAATCAGAAGAAAGTCCTAATCTCTTTGAGCTTGATTCAAAATCAGTTTCAGTCAATGGATATCATTTCAGTATCTTCAATTAACTGTGGATCAGACCTCTATCACAACAAAACGAATCCTTTGTCAGTTGTATTGAAGTCGAAGCTTGTATTTCATTCAAGTACCTAGTACGTGCTGCAGGTTTCTAGGTGTGGCAGTTGTAAGAATAAGTACCTTTCCACGTACATAACTAAACACTAATTTAGCATACGTACTAATAAAAGGGTATATATAAAATGGCATAAGACAGTAACAGGATCTTCACAAATCATTGGTTCTTTCTAAATTTGAATTTTCATTCAAATTTTTCCACTCTTGGAAAAATCCTAACTAACTCACTCAACAGGTGGTTTTTACCTTAAAATTTTTAATAAAAAAATTCTTGGACCTTCATTATTATTTTTGAGTTAAATCATGAGTTAAAAATTGACGATTATAATACACAAAGATTATTTAATAAGGATTGATGGTAGTAAGAGGCTTTAAAAAATTAAATAAATCCTTCCATTTTGAGAAATCTGGATATGATTTGGTGGCAGCAAGTCATTCAACTTAAATATAAATCCACCCTTTAGAACTCGGCGCACCATTATTCTCTAGCCATGCTTAAGAGGCTTCAGAAACTTTAGTGTATACATTGCATGCCATCATTGTTACTACTGGTGCTGACAGTTCAATGAGATGGTCACCTGGTCCCATCTGATTTTTTCTTTCAGATCTATAGCTAATGTTATCCTGCTAGCAGAGGTGAATATAGGGCACTAAATACGTTGATAATCCATTTAAGAATTAAAAAACCCCAGATTTATTTTCTGCTCAGCTCATTGGCTTCTCTCGATACAAGATGCTCTCCTTGTCCTCTGGGATTATCTTGAAAATGAAAGGTTACCCCCAGCGAGAGGGAAATGTAGAATAAATACTGTTATAAATAAAACATCTTCCAGTATGTAGAACAATGCTATCATATTCTCGTACACTCAATATATCTATAGGCAGACCCATATAATAACAGCATGAGCTCTAATCTGGAAAAAATATTAACATGTGTAGTAATAGTGCCTTAACACCTCTGCACAACAATGAAGCTATCTCCTTACATGTCCAAATGTCACAACTAGCAGAGTGGCCTTCAAACAGCAAAAGGCTAAATAAATAAATAAAGCAAGTAAGCAGAGAGTTGTCAATACTGATTACCAAAACAAAGAGGCTCTGATCTCGAGCTCCTCTGGCGTAAATCGCAATCACCTACCTGTGTAAATAAACCTGCCTGGTGCACCTTTGCAAAACTGTTTGGATTTGTATGATAATGTCACTTCAACCACTCCGGGAATGTGACGTGGAGGTGTCTGAACTCGAATGGCATGAGGCGTGATAAGCTAGGAAATAACAAAAGGAGAGGCACGATTATGACATGTCTGTGTTATTCCCCCCGCTTTCACTTTTCACACTCCAAACATGCTTTATAAGTAAATGCATTGCTTATTCCTATATAGGAGACACTATAGATCAGGCAAGTGATATATCTGGTCTAGTTGCTTGCCTCCAGGAGAGGAAGACACATTTTAGGATAAATTGTCATCAGGAAAATTGTACTGCTTATGCCCATTGGTTAATTGCTGGCTTAGTTCTGGACCCAGAGGGAATTCTTTCTCCTTCCCAAACTCTAACCTCTTCTTTATTTCTTTACCTTTACCTGTCTTCAGACACCTAGAATTGTTCAATTCCATTCTGGATATTACTGAGCAGTTGGCCTCAATAACATCACATAACGAGGAGTTCCACAGAGAAAACATGTTCCATTAATTTCCTTCATGGAAAGGCCCGCCTTACATGCCACCATTTTTGTACCGTTATTGGAATTGGAATTAACACTGTTCCCCCTCCACTTTCTTCAGAAAAAGAGGGTTCCTTCAGTTTAGCAATAGGGAGGCACCTCCACCTACCTCACTCCATACAAGCATGGTTCCAAATACAACTTGCAGCCCATCAAAGAAGTTGTCTCCAATAATGATCACCATTGCTCCCCCTGTAGTCCAACCTTCACTTGGGCTGATTGCTTTGATGCACGGTGTGGCTAAACAAGACAAAAAGGACATCAGAGCACCAGGTTATGGGTTTTTTTTTTCCTCACACAGCTTTGAGACTGTTTGCAATACTGGGTTTGCTGCAAACCCTTGCAGCAGATGGGTGCAAGCAACTTCTGCGCACATTAAGCAGTCCTAAGTCATATTGATGCAAACTGTAGCTTAGAGCAGCTTCACCTGTCCACTCCTGGGAGCTCCTGCACTGCTGCAGCTTCACGGCTGGCATGAATTCCCTAGTGCTGACAAATGCCTAGAACAAGTCCCCTCCAGCCATTCACCCATGAAGGCTGCTTTACCATTCCACGAAGCCCAGTAAATAAATAAATAAATAAATAAATAAATAAAAGCATGTTTTCTGCCTTGCTAGTGTTAATTACTTGCCTATTCATTACTGGCACTTAACATCGTGTCATTAAAGCCTAATAGGCCAACTGTAGTGGGTGTAAAAATGAAACGCTTAAATGATTGTGCAGAGGCTGTTTAAAAAAACCCCCACTCATTAGCATATGATCACACAAAAGCTAAACCCTGTGCAAAAAGAGGTAGATTAAGATTTATTGAGTTTATCAATGGGTAAAAAAGATACAGGAATATCAAATGTTTCCTCCAATTCCTACCAGGAGACAATTTCTAATAATTTTCTTGATTTTATAGAGTAGATTTTTTTTCTCCTCTCTTCCATATGTTCAAGGCCTCTGGACTATACATCCCATCAGGAACCCAATATGGTTTCCAGGCCATAACCAAAGTCAATCCATCACTCCATTCCCAATGTTGACAGGGTCAGAGGTGGAGGGGAACTTTGGCAGTGCTCCAAAAACATGAGACTCCTTTGAACAGCCAGTCAATCACATCCAATCAGTCAAGGAAAAACTGGATGGCTTCCTAGGCTAGGAATCCTGGGATTTTCCTTCTACCATTTCACTGCCCGCTGGGGGAGAATTAACACCACTCTGAATTCTTTACTGATTCAATCATTTTCTTCCAGTTCATTAATTCTTCTTTTAGGTTGATATAGGGCACAGTTAAGAAGTGGGGCAGCAAAACATTATAATGAAATAATAGCCATGCTTGTCTTTTCTACTAACATCACTAGCTCTTCTCACTTTCATTAGCTGCAGGGGAGGGAAAAGTAGACACAGATAGCATTTTCTAGTAATTTTGAGTACTATCTGCATGAGAGAGGTGGAATGCATTGGTAATGAATGTATGGGAAGAGGGAGAGGAGGGGCCAGCATTTTGAAGCTTAACAGATGCAAGTATTTGTAATTGCTTTAATATAGTCCAAAACCCATCCTGTAGACAGCCATGAGTCTTGCTTAGCCAAACAAACTAAAATCAATTAGTGTCAGTTTCCTTCTGTGCATTGTTATGCTTTGCACATAGCTTGTTTAAGGGAACTAGTGACACTTTTTCATACACATCTTGTGCTGTAACAGTTCTGTTTAACTAAGATGTCATGTTGCCTAATTTGCCTGAAATCAAATCTATCCCAGCTGAACGAGAAGTCTGAAATTTAGCTAATACTTAGTGTTTCTATGTTTTTCATCTTTGCAGTACAAACTAATTAATAAATTGGAAGGAGAGAGGGAGACAGTCTCTTAGATGTAAAGAGGATCATATTTTGCATGCAGTAGACACTCTTTTCCTGACTCTTCCTTCTCTAAACCCCCTGAGGTTCTGCAGTTCCCCCTTAGCTCTCCTTCCCTCCTGAAAACAAATAGAAATTGAATAACGGGTAATATGCTTTTGCATTCGTTTGCATACTGTTCTTCATACAAATATCCTACCTTCTGAGGGGTCAAGTCTCCTTGCTCTCCGTCCATGCTTGGAATTGTTGTGAACAAACATGTTGTCAGACACTGCCAGTACGTGCCCATCAACATTCACTGTTGTTGATAGCACAACCTAGATATTTAGAAAGGGAAGAAAAAGAAGGCAGGTAAACAATTTACTTTGAAATTCAACTCGTTAAGTATTAATTATTCAGTTTAGTTAAAACCCTGTTCTGTTTTCAAAATGGCATCATGTCCTGGAGGGTTTACTCCCTAACAAGAAGGGGAGAAAATATTTTCAGCCTTCATTCTATGCATTAATTCCATTTAACATAGCATCCTAAGGGCCGTATAAAGTCCTTACTGTATAATGAACCAGCTACTGCAGATGGCCCTAAATTTAGTTTCCTATGATGCACTGTAGCATAGCTGATGGCAAAGAGGTCTATATACACCAACCAGGAGGGCAAGCTGCAGAGCACCACAGCAATTTGCCCTCTGATACATACATGCAGATTCAGAGCCATCTGCTGTACTGCGCACACTTGCAAATGTATCTGCATCTGCTCCAAAAATACAGGTCTCCATTGACTGAGCAAAATGGAAACTCCTACTATGTGAAAACAGTACCTAATATCATGTCTGGTTTTTGACCTATGCGTGCTTAGTGCCTCTTGAAAATCATCTGAGCCTGAGGACCCCGAATCAAGCAGCAGTTTTTAAACCTTAGCCTCCATGACTGATGTTGCTGGGCTCCAATAGCATATGAATTCTTAGAGGAAGTAACTGTGTATGTTAATTAATCCCACTTAGTTTTCCCTTTACACAATATCCAAAGCTGTAAGTCCTATAAATCCAGAAATATATGTGCCTTTAAACCACAAACTTTTAGGAAAAAATGAACAAACTGTGTTTTAACTACTGAGAGAAGATGCGTCTTACTGAAACTTTCAGGTTTCGACCATCAGTTGGTGTAAATCAGCTTAACTCCATTCAGCTGCCACACAGCTACAGTAATTCACAGCTCTTGAGAATCTGACCCTGGATGTGTTCATGAATTTTCACAGATACAGCTGTCATAGTCTAGGTAAGAGAATGTCAAGCTCTAATTGTTGATAAAACTACATTCAGCATGTAGCAGGAAAACCTTGCCCTCCTACAGGATTAGGATAGCTTAAAGAATACTTTCTTTCTTGAGACACGTTTAATTCATTCCAAAAGGCTCTTGTCATACTGTACTCTTATACTTCTCAAGCATTCTTGTCACAAAATGTGTTGCTTTTGTGTGCCAACTGATTTCATCATTGCACATTTGGGTGGAGTGAGTGAGACTCCTATCCAAAGTGAACATTTCCCGCATGACATAGCTGAACCTACTCAGATGCACTTCATTATTTTCCGTTAAACAATGGAAATAAATTTTAATCTCTCACTGGCCAGCACAGAGCACACTATGGCAACAGGGGAATAGACCTGAATTATTCCAGTGTCTGAAATATTTACGACAAGTGTTTAAATTGTAACCAAATGTAAATAAAAAGTATATCATATATATAGTTACACTATATAATATATACATATCTGACCTCACATACACAAGGTACGTATGTGATAAACACACGCCCACATGCTCTCAATATGAGATCTTTATAATACATGCAGACTTCCAATATACACACATCCCCTGTTTGAATAACCATTTGGGTGTAAATGTTGCGCACAATACAAGAGCCACATTTCAGGAAGAGTTGTAGAGATCCCTGTAGCATGAGTGATAGCAAGCAACAGTCCTCTGTTTAGAAGATAAGTGCTGAGCATCCTCTATTCCCTCAGCCA